GCCTGGGTACCATTTTAAATTGTTGTTAAACCTTCTACATTATTAACAGCTAATATTGTTGACTGCTCTGGTTCCAGGAGCTTTTTTTCCCTGGCCTTGTCCCGAGACAGCCCCAATGACGACTCATTTTCCAGGAGTTAGTTTTCTGGCACCTATGTCTGTAAAGTTTGGCCAGATTTTTTTTACCTAATTGTGTCCAGACTTGAGACCAAAACTGGCCATACGCTGTTTGAATTTTGTCCGAGGTGTCAGTGGCCATGTCAGGATTATTCTGTTCAGCAAAAGTCAAGTTTTCAACGACTTTTATCAGTCAAGCGAAAAAAATTGAACACTGAAGCCAATAAGCTGTTGTCCTGTTCGGGTATGCGGACAGCTGTGGGCACCAGTTGTCAGAATGTAATGGCCCAGCAGGGGAGATTCACCCATTCACACTACTTAGCATTACATAGCCAAGTATGGGGCCAACTTCAGGATAAACCAAGGTTTACAGTTAGGCGTAGGGTTAATTGTAGTGTTATGACTTATGTTACCATAAAATCTAGGGTAACTAGTAGTTACAGTTCCTGCATATGCCTTGCCTGTCTATACTATAACTGACCCCAAGATCAAAAATGTAACATATTCTCGTTTTACAGTCCTTAGATGTTGTGCCTACATTGGTTCTAATTTTTCAGGCTGATAACATTTTCGGCAAGTGCAGAATAATACTTGTTGATTTAGCCAGAAATGAAGTGTCCTTTTTTTCCTAGTTTTCAATAGCGTAAAGGAGGGTTATAACTCCATCAGCTTTTTATTTATTTATTTTACATCTGTGTCCTATTGGGTATATTCCCCTTAATTTCCTGTCTAATAGCCACTACAGGAAGTGAGAGGAAATCTCTCCAAAGAGAGGGAAGTGGTGGTTAGCTGAGTGATCAAAACTAGTGCCCCCATTGGAAGATTTTCCATCTATTCCTGTTCTGGTGACAACCCAAATTTTGGCTTTTTTCCCCCACTTTCAGTTATAACAGTCACCAAGACAAATAGTGAGGGTGACTCACTTTAATGGGGACACAAACAACAATAAAAACGTGGCAGGAATTCTAATCCCTCTCCAATCTATCCAAAACTAAAAGAAAGTTTTGACTGCAGTTGCACTAATCCGATGGTTTTTGGGTTTATAAACACATTTTTCTAGCTTATAAATCTCAGCTGGGCTATGCGGAATCTATGGTGGCTGTGCAGGTTCTTTAGTGGGCTGTGTGGGGTCTATGGTGGGCTGTGCAGACTCTCCGGTGGCTGTGCAGTTTCTATGGTGGTCTGTGCAGACTATCAGGTGGCTGTGCAGGTTCTTTGGTGGGCTGTGCGGGGTCTTTGGTGGGCTGTGCAGACTCTCCAGTGGCTGTGCAGGTCCTATGGTGGGCTCTGCAGACTCTCAAGTCGATGTGCAGGTTCTTTGGTGGACTATGCGGGGTCTATGGTGGGCTCTGCGGACTCTCAGGTGGCTGTGCAGGGTTAATGGTGGGCTGTGCACTAAATTTTGGCCTGCCAATGGCTAAAAATTAATTTAAACAATAGACAATGTTAGTTATATTTCTTCACACAGTCACTGACTCAAGAGTGCCTTATGGTAAATACACATACTACCATCTGGTAATGAAGATTTTACTGTTATTGTACATGTTGCTTATGCTTCTGCTTGAGCATCCTGTTATAATGTGCACTTCATTTGTAGCCAGACATGACTTTTTTGGAGCTGTCTGGGCAAAATCTGTATATCTCCTATTTCTAATTCCCCCTTGCTAAAAAGACAGACATTACAGCGTAATCACTTAAAAGATATATGTAATTCGCAGAAAATTTTGTTATCCTTGTTTGTAGTGGGAACATTACACATAGATAATCCATAATTGTTGATAGAAGCCAGGATCTGGTACACTGCTCTACTCTGCCCTAGCCTTCTCTTTAATTAATTTCTGAAAGTAAACATGAAATCACTTCTTAATTAATTATCCTTAACCCATTACCAGTTGCTTCTCACTGTTTGATGTATATATCATGAATGTCTTCCAGAAGATGTAATAATAAGCAGACAAGCAAGTCAAAGGTCAGGATCCAAATTATCGCAGCTGTCAGACGTCATCAGTGTTCACGAGACAGATGAGAAGGTAAATAATAATTGCATTATTATATCTCATACTGAAATCTGCATGTGTCCTAGTCTTCATTTCAATATGCTCCTATGAAGAAGCATTTAGAAAAAACTGCCCTGCATAATTTAGGCCAGTTGTATATTTTATCTTTGCAAGTGACAGCTACATTACCTACCAAGCTGAAGTGCTGTTTCAGATCCCTTAGAGTTCCTTTAGGCACTACATCTTATTAAAGGGAATGTAGTGAGGGTTTATTGTATGTTTTCTTTTTCTTTTGTTCAAAATGATTTTGTAAAATGTTTCCTTATATTTCTTTTTTATAAGGTATATATAAAATATGGGCTGTGATTTTTTTTTTCAGATTTACTAGTAGGCGGCAAGCTCTAGGAAAAAGTAACGTCTTTCCAGCCAGTCAAACAGGCATAAATGAACGCAACTTTAAAGTAATATTAAACTCTCAAACTTTTTTCAATAATGAATCCAAATCAAACAAATATACATTGCCCAGCAAAGTATTTTTTTTCATTTTTTCCCAAACACTTCATCATCTTTCCAAACAGTTGACTCCAATGCTCTCAGCTCAGCTTCCCTGAGCTTCCTGTTTGGTACAAGATCACAAGGGACAGAGCGATCTCCAGATGCTGTCTGTCAACTAGTTTGGAGAAGGGAGGCTTGCCTTGCTGTGCCTGTGTGTTTATGGAGACACACACAGCCTACCAGCACACACAAGGGTGACTTCACCCTGCAAGGCAAAGGAACCACCCTAAAACAGAATATCGGGCCCAGTGCTCAGGGGACGAGCTGATTCTACAGGAGGCTAAAACTTTTAAACATTAAGGATCAGCATCCATTGTAAGTGATTTGATCAGGATTTATAGTAGCTTTAAAACATTTTGACGTCAATATCACATCATTGATACATCATTAAAATTATTTGTTTTAATGCAAACAACATAAGTACCTGAATTTGACCTGGTACTTGCAGTCTTTTGTACTGCAAAGCTCAGTCTGGGACAAGGAGAAGCAGCACAAGGAACCAATCAGTCATGCTGCAGTGCTAACAAGGAGCATGCTAATACGAGTCTGCTTGTTTTCCTTTTACTAGTCACAAGCTGGGGGAGGGACAAGACCTGTTAGGGCCCATTAAAACCCGATGCCTTGTTTTGAATCTGCTCAGTTCACACTACCACATTGTGGTGGTATGCATTGAAAAAGTACTGCGTGCAGTACTTTTTTCAGTGCAGCATAGTGCCTAGTACAACCGCATTGCACTGCGCCAAGAGGACGCTCATGACATCACAAAAAAGTTCTAAACAAGAAAAATAAAAGTAAACGGTACAATGTGCAACAATTGCTGCATCAGCACTGTTCTCCCTCATCAACATCAGTGGCCATGCGTTCAGTGCAGCTTGCTGAACTACAGCAGGAACAAAATTGGTCTTCTGCCCTGCCAGACAGGACTGTGCTGTGTGGCAGAGCTGTGTAAATCTTAGGACTCAATGGACAGAAATACAAATTCTAAGTATAAGTATTCTGCTAAACCTCCCATTTATTGTTGTATAAAATTCCCCATAAAGGAGAACTATTAGGTCAGTGCTTTTCCTCATAGTTCTCTCCAGGGTCACGGGAGGACACAAACTAGCGTCCTCCCGTGACTCAAAGCTCAGTATACCGCACTATACTGAGACCGCCGCAGCCAGGACGGATCCCGACATTACTGTCGAGATCCACCCAGCTGCGTGATTAACAGCTGGCTCTGCCTATCTAGAGGCAGAGCCAGCTGTACCCGCCCCCTCCCCGTCCGTTCCGCCAGTCAGCGCTGGGGGATTGGACAGGGGGGTTGGGAATCCCTGCAGGGAGCCGTGAGTGACAGTCATGGCTCTCTGCAGGGACAGGATCGAGAAGTGAGCGAGCGATGTGTTCGATCAATTCCCGATCTATTGAGCCGACATGTGACAGTTTAATTGTCACAGCTCGGCTAGAACTATGAGGATGAGCGATTTTCACTCACCTCATAGTTCTCCTTTAAATCTTTGCTTGATTATTAATTTTACCTTTCTCAGGGTATACTGCGTATATACACTACCCTTTATCACAATAACAATGCCTTTTCAGCTTTTTGGAAATTTGGGTATATTTTATATGTTCTTTATTATGCATTATAAGTTCTGTGTTAATTAATTTTGATATTTTATGTTATTTTAGGTGGTTTTAAATCAAGATGATATAATCACCTCTGCAAATGAAAACAACACATCGGAAATTACAGAGGCACAATCTGATCTAGATGTACGTGCTTAAATTATACCTCCGTTAAGGGATATATGGTATAGGAAATTCCATAATATCACCATGTGATGTCACTAGAGTCTCTCTGTAAGGTTGTCTGTATTTTCTAATGGAAGTTTTGCACAGGAGCTTCTGGTCATTCCATGTATAGAGCAATCAATCCTCACTTTTATGTTTTTTTTAATGTAAATACTTTATTTAAAGTGACACTAAACTCAGGAGTTAAACCTTAAAAATGCATTCAAGTATCTCAACTAATAACAGAAATGTCGCTTATTTCTGTTACTACCAAAAAAAGCACTTCCCAAAATCTCCAAAATCTGGAAGGAAGTAGAGGCAGGGAACAAGAAAGAAAGTGACCTAGAAGGTCAAAACAGAGGAAAGTAAAGTGAGCAAACATAGGGCAAAAGAAGAATAAGGGGACTAGATAAAGGAGGAAAAACTAAGATCAGTAAGGCAAGGGAGAGGGGTGGCATGATAAGAGGGTCACCACCACACTGCCCCCATAAATGTCCTTCTGAACGACTGGCAAACGAACCTAGAGCGGGATTGCAACCTAAGAAGCCTGACCAGCTAAAATAGTTCTGTTTTCAGGAGGAGTGCCGTCATATTTTTGATGTCATTGTGTTGCCATCAAAGTGGGGATGGTCTGTTGCCATAGTAGCTGGATGCTAGCTTTGGCCGCAGGACTTTATGGTAACGCAATCTAGGAATGTCCTGCAGATGTAACAGGTATTTGGCAGGATCCTGGCCTAGATCTCCTGTATGTTTGTAGGTTTAAAAATGAGGTAATGAACCTTATCCCAAAAGGGGCATAAAACCGTGCAATCCCCAGAAATGTGAAACAGTGAACCCTCTGCTTGGTTGCAATGTCAGCACAAGTTAGAAAATATACTCTACATCTTTTTTTCTGGTTTATCTTTGACATCCTCATCCTCTGAACAGTGCATGCAGGACAAGTTATTCATACAGAAGTATTTCACAGGTTAACTAAAGCTAGCCATACACCTATAGATTATCTGCAGATTTTCTATTGTCAGATGGAAAAAGTGCAACAGATTCCTCCATCTACGCTAAACTGTGTGGATGGAGGAATCTCCCGCTGGGCAAAGCTTCACTATCTTGCTAGTCGGCCGCGCTGGCTCTCAAAATACCAGAACAATCTGATTGGATGCAGGCATTGTTCAGGTGTTTTGAGAGCCAGCGGGGCCAACCAGCAAGATACTGAAGCTTGGCCCAGCGGGAGATTCCTCCATCCACACAGTTTAGCGTTGATGGAGGAATCTGTTGCACTTATTCCATCTGACCATAGAAAATCTGCAGATAATCTATAGGTGTATGGCCAGCTTAACCAGTTGACATCCGCGGTGTTAAACCCCCTTCCCATCCAGGCCATTTTTCAGTATTCAGCGCTGCGGTACTTT